TTCTACAGAGGGGGGGAAAGGTTTCCAAGCTTAAATCTTGTTCTTGAACAAGAAAAGGAAGGAAAAAACCAAGCTTTTTACCGGTTTTCTCGAAGGAAGAGGCGTTGGTGGTGGCTGGGGCTCTTGTTCGGTGCAGGGGAGAAGAAGAAGAAGAGAAACACGCGACTGAAGAAAGAAAGAAGGAAGAAAAATCACCCGGTCCTTATCCAATTCTTTTCTCTTTTAAGTCCCTCAACTTTTGAAATATTCACTATTAGGCCCAAAAATATTATTTTTTCACAATTAAGCCCCTAACTAAATGCTAAAATATCACAAAATTTTGGGATATTACAAGTTCCTTATGAATAGAAGCAGGAAAAAACATTCCCCACATGTAATACCTAGGAACAACTGATAGTACAAAGGAGACAAGTGTGGATCTCCTTGCCAAGGAAAGCAAATTAGCTTTCTAACCTACGAGTTTGTTCCAAACTTTGTTGATAATAAAATTGCAATAAGCTTTAGTAATATTTTTTGTCGTAATTAGAAATCCAAGGTATTTTGCCAAAGAGAGAGTTTCAGTAGCATTAAGTTTGGAACAAATCTCTTTCTTAGTATTAACTTGCGTATTGATAAAAAAAAAAGGAGTTTGAATTTTTGCAAGTTAACTTTCTAGCTGTATCTAATACAAAAGAACTTAAGTATATCATCCAAATAAGTAGCATTAGAAGGCTGGCCTTACCAATAAAAAAAAGATCATTTGCAAAAAAAGAGGTTAGTAGGGGTCAGCCCCTTTTTCTCGAGCTTAGTTCTCTTCCACTAATTGGAACCACTCAATTTAAGAGAAAAATATTCCACACAGAGAATAAAATAAGTAGGGAGAAAAATGATTACCTTGTTTAAGCCCTCTTGAAGGAAGAACTTGTTCCATCAAACCCCCATTGATGTTAACATCAAACTTGGCCAAGTTGATACAAGACATGATGATAGAAATAATTTTGGGGGGAAAGTTAAAGAAAACAAGAGCTTCCTTAACAAACCCCCACTTAAGGCAATCATAAGCCTTTTCAAGGTCAAGCTTAACAATCATGTCTCCAACACAACCTTTCCTTTTAGTGAAACTATACACAAGTTCTGGAAGAAGGAAAACATTATCTACCCCATTCTTACGAAGGAGAAAGTTGGATTAGAGTGCGGAAATAAAACCTCCCATAATGCTCTGAAGTCTCAACACAATGATTTTAGTGAGCACCTTATAAGTGATGTTACACAAACCTATAGCTATAGGACAAAATTGTGGAATAACCTTAGGATTTTGAGTTTTTGGAATAAGCGAAATTAAACTTTGGCTCCAAGATTTTGGAATTCTCCCATAAATAAAGATAGAACGTAAACTTTACCACTCACTAGGTCCCAAAATCTATGGAAAAAAGCAATGTGTAAGCCATCAGGCCTAGGAGCCTTCCATGGCTTCATAGACTTAATAGCTAACCATATTTCATCATTTGATGAGGGAGTGCTAAGAGAATCCCACAAGTCACCATCAACCACAGGGCCTCTAACGATATCACCAAAGGAAGCATAATAAGAATGCACATGAGAAGATGTATATAGGTGTTCAAAGTAAGTCAAAATAAAAGCTTGAATTCCTGTAGAATCATAATGCCAATTAGGGATCTTCGAGGCCAAGGATTCTATTACATGACCTCCTTTTAAGAGTGGTAGCATGAAAAAATTTAGAGTTTTTATCCCCCTCTTGAATCCAATGAGAATGAGACTTGAGAGATCAGAGATTTCTTGCTTGATGATGCTTTGATATTCTTGACTGAGGTGTTTTTCAAGCTAAACAAGAAACAAGCTATTATTATACTTGAGAGCACATTGAATACCTGCTAATCAAGCATAAATCTTTTTTTTCTTCGTAGGAATATAGTCAAAATTAGACCTACTCCAAAGCTTCATAAAAGCTTTGAAATGATTCACACATTTAGCAGTAGATTGGTTGTTATACAACCATTTAGAAGCAACAAAATTTTTAAAAGAGGAATGATCAAGCCAAAATTTTTCCAGCCTAAATGGTTTATCACCAAATGTTGGGACATAGGGATCCAAACTCAGTAAGATAAGACAATGATCTGAAGACATTCTAGGAAGATGAACCATAAAAGCTTCTAAAAATTTAACTCTCCAAGTAGGATTACCCCAAGCTCTATCTGATCTCTCACAAATAATGTAATGAGTATCTTTCATATTAACCCAGGTTTACTTAGGCCCATTATAGCCTAAATGAAGAAGATTAATTGTGTTCATACAATATGTATATGCTCTAATCCAATACCAAGGAACTTGATTACCTCCAAGTTTTTCAGACTGGGAGGTGACATCATTAAAATCACCAATGGCTAACCATGGTCCATTAACAATTTGTGAAAATTGGGTCAGGTTCTCCTAAAGGAGAAATCTAGCTTCAAATTGAGGGCAATCATACATCGCAAAAGAAAAAAAAAATCAATTAAAAATAGTAAATTTAGGGTCATGATTTACCTTAACCAGAGCATGGAAAACTTAAGGACCTTTGATAAGGATGTTCATAATAAACCGAAAATCATCCCAGAGCAACCATATACCACTTGCAAAACTATTAGCTTCTACAATTTCACACCTAGATAGCCCAAGACTTTGAGCAACCTCATTAGCCTTTGTGCCAGTTAGTTTAGTCTTTATAATGACAAAAATTCCAGGGTTATGTTCTTTCTTGATTTGCATAGCAATTTTTTTGAAGTTATTGTTCACCGCTCTGCAATAATTTTAAGAAATAACCTTCATTGACCCAGCAAATTGACTAAAAGAATTCATGACCAATCTACCTAGCTCCTACATCTAGTGGAACGAGTTGTCTGCCTTGCTCTTGATCAACATGTTGACCTCTAGAAAATAGTATGGAAGGATTGTTTGGATATATCAAGCTCTCATTGAGCATGACACTTCCTCTCAATGGACAATTAAGTGGACCGTCTTCATAGCACCCATTATCGATATCTTGTCCAGATAGAGACCAGATAGTGGATTGGTTGTGATTTGAGGGTAGGTTTGGTCTTTCCATACCTCCTAACCCATGATTTCCTTTATCGAGTTCTATTGAGCTCTCATTGTGATGCACATATCTAGAGCTTGTATCTGAGGTGGAAGTAGGATCCATTTCTTGTGGTGGTGCCAGAAAGGGAGTGTGGTCAATACCTTTCACCACCACTATCAGACCGACCCACTTCTTTGTAATCATGTACAGATTTTAGCCTTCCATTGGATTAGGGTCCCTTTCCAAAAGTCTTAAGAGAGCTTTTTTCATTAAAAGAACTTTCTTGTCCTCCTTGACTAGTAAGATGTCCTATACACAGCTCAGCATGCTAAAGGATTCCAGATCCAAGGCCCAAATTTTCGTCGAAGAGGGAAATCATAGATTGCAAAGTCTAGATGTTGTTGATGTTTCTTATCTGTTTAATGGAGATTTTAGAAGTGAACTTTCCACATGTTTTTTTTTTTAGGAATCTAGTTTGTCTTGTAAAAGATCAACATAAGGTAATTCAAAATGGACCATAAAATGGTTCTTTGGTCTTACTTAGTTATTGGTTTGGGCTTGACTTCTCTTTGAAGATTGATCCATTTTCCTAGTAGTTTCAATAGATCCGTTAGAATCAATGATCTTGTTATTTAATGTTACTTCAATTGTGTTGTTTATCTTAAGACCCATGGAGTTAGATCCATTCTTTAAACTGATGAGTTGACTCATTGAGTTAACTCCACTATGAGTGTTCTATTTCACCAATGAGAAGGATGACTGCAAATTTTTTAAGAAGGTTTCCTTCTATTCCGCTTTCTTTCAATGGCCATCCAAGGACCAAAAAAATTTTGTTCTTTCTGGTCTTGAGATAACTTGCCATCTTGAATTGATGTTAATGGGTTATACATTTGTGTAGAAGGTTGATCTTTGTCCATACCAACTGGAATTGAAGATAGCTTTAATGGGCAAAAATTCTCTTTGTGACCAACATAGCCATAGGAGAAGTATAGAGCCACAAGAGAAGCATAGTGCCACTGGCCTCTCATAAAGCACTTTTTGAATGTGATTACCAATTCTAACAATAGGAATTAAAGGTTCATCAAGGTCAACTTGTATGCAAATTCTAGCACATTAGCCTTTAGATTGATGTGTGGTGTAAGCATTAATGCAAAGTGGAGTTCTTAGAAGTTTGCCAATTCATTATAATATCTTCACATCATAATACTCAATTGGGGGATGTGGAAGACAAGCCCGAATTGCTGTGGTAGTAAAAGTGGCCTTTTCTAGATCAAACACAGGTTCCCAATGCTGAATTGTTAATTACTACGGACTGACAAACCAAGGACTCCCGTTGAGCACTTTAAGTAGATCGTCCCTATCATGGAAATGGATGAGGAAAAAATCAACTCCAAGTTCTATACAGTCCATTCTTCCTTTTGGCTTCCATTGTGCCTTAATCCTAAGATAAATAAAGTTGTAGCATGTGGCATCAATACCAAAAGCCTTGACGATAATTGAATTAATCCAGGGGAGTGAATTTGCCTTTTTTCCTCCTTTGAGATCAAAATTGTAAGGATGGACCCGTCATCCTCTACATTAGACTCTTCTTCTAAGAGATCTAAATTGAGAGAAGCTTCCCAATGAATTTGAACCGGTTCATTCCGGAGCAAGGAATCCCTGTAAGAGGCAACCTAAGGACGATTTTCGATCAACTGATAGTCTCCATCAATTGAAGGACAATTATCTCCTTTGATGCGTTTCAACGCTTGCCGTAAATCACTTTCTTGTGCTAAAGGACAAGGGTTGATTGGATCAGACACAACCTAGAGAGAAGTCAGAGCAAATGTTCAACAGCGAGAAATTAAACTCACTATGTTTAAAAAGTTTTTGCCTTTTTACTTTTACAAAAACCATCATTCACACGAGTGGCAGTGGCAGTGGCAGTGGCAGTGGCAGGATATGATCATTTATCTACTTTTTATTTTATTTTATAAAGATAATTTTTCTTTCAATTTAAAAAGTTATGATTAATTTGAAATATTTATAGTAAAGAGAAGAATATATATTCAAAATTTTATAGAAATAATGTGCATATAAATTATATGTAAATATGTCTTAATTTTTATATATAGAATTTTTTTTAATTTGTACCTTAAAAATATTTTTTTACCATAAATTTATATAGAAAATATAAAAATATATATATATTAATTTTAATGTTAATGTTATATGGATAAATTTAATTATAAAATTGATAAATTAAATGCTACTTTTTATTAAATGCTACTTTTTATTTTTTCAAGAGGACATAGGCTAGAAAAACCCTTATATATATATATATATATATGAAGGAAAAGCACATATCAGTTTCGACTCCTAAAAATAATTAGAATCTCACTTGTAAATTATATTTAATTAAAATTAAATTCAAAATTTTAAAAATTATCTTATTAAAATTGATATTTAAATTTCAAAATTGATTATATAAGAATATATAATAAGTTTTTAAATTTATATATCAATATTTAATAGGATGAGGTTTTAGTTTTTAGATATAAGTTGAGATTCTAATTATTTTTAAAAGTTAGGACTGATATGTATTAGTTTCTACATATAAAGATAGTACATATTAATTCCTTAACTTTAAATAACCTCGTTTTATATTAAAATTCATTTTAAAATTTTAAAATTTACCTTGTTAAATGTTAATATCTATATTTAGAAACCAAATTTCTCTTATCAAATAGTGCATGTCAGTTTCTAAATACAAGTATCAGCTGGATTTTTAAATTTTAAATTATGCTTAATTAAAAAAAATAACATTATTTAAAGTTGAGATTCTAACCTTTTTTTCTTGAATTATAATTGATACGTACTGTTCTATATATATTTAAACAATATAATTTTGGAGTCTTTTTATCGGTCTCAATTCTAATTAAGGAATTAGAATTTCAATCCTAAATAATATTATTTTATTTAATTAGAATCTAATTTAAAATTTAAAAAATTTAAAATATGCCTTATTAAATTCTGATACTATTTTTTAACAACTACTTCAAACAGAACTTAACATTAAATATAGTTGAGTTCTAACTCGCGTCTCAATTCAGATTTTTGTCATTTGTTTAGCAAACTAGTTCGATAGTAGCTAAAAAATAGGCTACTTTATACAAGCAATGGCAAAGTTTTCCTCTCTTTATAGGGATTCACTCCTTGGCAACTCCTGCAATTGTTTTCTCTACGTTATTACCACGGAATAAGCTAATGAAAGCCAAGGGATGCTCTTCACACCATCAGAAATATCTTCAAGGGGCTGAATTTCACCGGTACTAAGGTACTTACAAGTTTTGAACACAAAATCTGGAAATAAGTCCATGTCTTATCGATGGCTAAAAATCCCTGGATTGTGATCCTCTTGTAAATACCATCCACCATATTGGGTGATGCTCGTTTCTTTTCACCAGTGTACTACGAAATCACCGCTCACACTGCAATCCTATCAAAGGTGCTCATACTGTCAATAACTGCCTCTTGCATCTTGCCTCCCAGATTGTCGAAATATATGTCAATTCCATCAGGAAAGTACTTGATTTGGTAATTAATTAGTTAGATCAAATCATGTATCAATTGGAATTTCATACCAACGAATTTGTTTCGTTAACACTACTAGAATTACGATCATTTTGGTCATAATACTTGACCGAATTAAAGGTTTGTCTATAAAAATAGGAAAAAGTAGTATGATTTGGTTAAAACTTATTTCAGTCATGAAATTTGATTGAATTTAAAACACGGGAAAAGGTGTCAAAACCAATTCGATCACTTTATTTGACAGAATTCAGGCTAAATCTTATTCGGTCAAATTAATTGACCGAATAAAATGCAAAAAAAAGTCTGCAGTATATTTTAAGATTAAATATTGATGAAAAAAAATATATATCATACTTCGATCAAAGTTGCTAACCAAAAAAAAGAGTTTGAACCAATTTGACATAGGAGAGATCACGGGTCTGATCTGCATTCTATTTCGGTCATGTCGCATGATCGAAATGGTGCTGCAAACAATTTCTTCCATGTGCAGTCCAGTTTCGATGGGCAGAGATCGACTCTACTTTCATAACCATTCTTCATCAATCAATTATTCATCATCATCATCAAACAACAAATCCCACAAAAAAATAAAAAATCTTTTTGATTTTTTCACAAAACTAAAAATTTGTTGGGTTCAACCTAACGGTCGCTGGGTTCCAATCGCTAGAACCTGGAACCCAGCAATGCTGGGTTCCATCGCTGCCTTTGAACCGAGTGTCATCATCATTCTTCATCTATCAATTATTCCTCATCGTCATCAAACAACAAATCCCACAAAAAATAGAAAATCTTTTTGATTTTTTCACAAAACAGAAAATTTATTGGGTTTGAACCCAACGGCCGCTGGGTTCCAACCGTTGGAACTTGGAACCCAGGCGTGCTGGGTTCCAGCTGTTGCGTTCCACCACTGCGTTTGAACCCAGCGGTTGGAACCCAAGCATGTTGGGTTCAAGCCACGGTGGTCGTTGGGTTCCACCACTGCGTTTGAGCCCAGCGGTTGGAACCCAGGCATGCTGGATTTGAACCCAACGGTTGTTAGGTTCAAATGCAACGGTGGAACCCAGCGTCTGCTGGGTTTCAAGTTTGTTGGGTTCCAAGTCTGCTAGGTTTGAAAGAAGAAAAAAGGTTGCAGAAGGAAAAGGCAATGGCCAAGAGAAAGAGGGGTTGGAGGATGAAGAAGGGGGCATTTAAATAATTTTAAATTTTTAATGTACAAACCAATTAAAAGGATTATTAAATTATGATTATAGTGATTAATTGATTGATTAATTTATTATAATTATATTTTTTTTATTGATAAGTAAACTATAATTAGTTAAATCAATTAATTGATTATAAAATTATTATTATATTAATTGTTTAATTGATTGGTTAATTATGATATTAATTTATTGATTGATTTGTAAATTATGATTATATTAATTAAATATTGATTGATAAATAATGATTATAAAATTATGATTATATTAATTGTTTAATTGTAGGTTAAATTTTCAATTAAATGTTCTAATATATATTAACAAATAGTTTAATTAGTAGAATTTTTAATTATAATGTATTAAATTAAAAAAATTAGAAGTAGAGAAAGTAAAAAATAGGAAATCTAAAAGGTTAGAAATACAACAATATGCAGATTAATTCACTGAGGCATCACATTTTGCAGGAGCAGCATCAACATATTTCGGTTAGTCATTTTGACCTAAATATAATTGAATTCATTATGATTACTAAATTCAGTCAGCATATTTGACTGAATAATTGGTTAAAATAAAATTAAAAAAAAGAAAAAAAGAAAAAAGGCGAATTTTAATTTGGTCACCAATTATGACCGAAATAGAGGCCAATTATTTCAGTCATTTACCTTGACCAAAATAAAGGCCTTGAATTGCCGTCGGTTTTGTGAAACTTTTTTGAATTTTTTGCTACAACTAATTCAGTCATAATTACTGACCGAATTAATTTTCTAGCTCTTGCTTCCCCCCCAAATTTTGAAAGCAAAAGTGTTTAAATTTTCTGCCTCTTTATTTTGATCAATGATACTAATCAAAATAATATTCAGACTATATATACATCAACCCAAACTATTCTAATCACTTTTCCAACTTCTGCAACCTCTCTTTCATTTCTTTTTGCCTTCTCCAACTTCAAGCCTTTTCTTTACCCCTTATTTTTTTTAACTTTCAATAATTCTTTCCAAATTATCATTAATTACTTCCTCATCTTCATCTTTCTTTTTTACTTTTGTTGTTCATCACAACTTTTATTTCTCTTTAAGTTTTATACATATCTTCACATATCAAAACTAATGTTAATTCCTTCTTTACCACCTGTTTTATTTTCATTTTTTCAATTGTTTTATTATGTAAAATTATCTTTATTTTTTATATTTATTATATTGTTGGTTGTTTTAATTGTATACTAATACTTTAATTTTTCATTTTGAAGGTCTTTTAAGTTGGTGAACAATATGGAACAATATTTTGGAGGTAATTTTTCATTTTCATTTAATATTTTTCCTTAAATCTTTATTTTTTTATATATTTAGTTAATTTATTTGCATACTTTAATTTATATGCTATTGTCAATTTGACTTACTTTTATAATTATGTTGGATTCCTTTTACAAATGTTAAATTTTTTGAGTTTTTTTCATTTTTTTGTATATATCTATATTTTTAATTGTAATTATTAGTATAGAAGCATAATAATAATTAAAAACTATATAAAAAAGATCACTAAATTAATTAAATAATAATTGTATATAATTGATGATGCTAAAATTGAATTTTTTTAATACCAAAATTTATTAAATAAGGAGACTCGCCTAATATTGAGAGTTATTCTTTTATCCAACTATCTTTATGAACTACAAAGCAGAAAACTTAAAAATACTCATAGTCTTAATAATCACTCTTCAACTCCATTTTAAAAATATGGTGTTCTAGTAACACTTTTTAAAGCTTACCTTAAAATGTCGTAGTTTTTAGGGAGAAAATAAAGATTTTTTTCTTGAAACAAATGCAGTTTTGGGATTGACAACTGTAAATCTTTGTATTTAGTATTGACAAACACTTCTTACCAATATTGGATGGCTGAGTTTTTGCAAAGCAGGGCATTAACATTGATGTATTTTGGCGGGCATAGTTCAATCCTCTCCCAACTTGCTCCAATTGTTTTGTTTGGTGTCGTTTCGGATGACGAACGATGATATTTTTTAACGAGTGCTAATCCTTTTTTTTTAATGGATTTCTAACGTTCTTTTGCAACTTACCTGAACCTGGTATGCCATCATACATATGAAATATGATTGCTTGTCTCTATTACCTTGGTATGTGGTAAGAACAACTTTGTCTGTATGAGCTTGATTTTATCTTTGTTATTTGGTAGTTGAGATGCGGATGTTCTGCGACTACATATATAAGCAGATGTTCTGCTACTCAAATTTTTACTACTACTCCTACCCTCATGTCACAGAGGTCAGTTGGTGGTTTCATCAAACCAATATTTCTTGCAAGATAGTAACATGAAAGGACAAGTAGCAACATTGTTTGATCGGCTGGAATGAGATTTCCTCCCTTTCAAGCCTCTGCAAACAACATTTCTTTTATTGGTAAAGTCATACAAATTTGATTTTCAAATTCAATAGATTCTGGATTTTTCTCTTTATCGTTCAAGCAAGTAAAATGAAAAAGAGCGAGATTGTTTGGAATGTCCTGTATATCAAGCAAAAGCGAGTTTACTCCCACTTCAATCCTTTGCTACCCGAACAATTATTTTCCCCACATTTTTACCTTGAAATAGGCTAATAAAAGCTGAAGGGATGTTCTCTACACCGTCATAAATGTCTTCTAGTGACTGAATTTTCCCCGCACGAAGGTGATCAGAAGTTCTGGACACGAACTCAGGAAATAAATTCAGGTAATCGCCGGCTAAAAACCCCTGAATGGTGATTCTCTTGTATACAACATCCACCATATTTGGTGTAGCTTGTATCTTTTCATCTGTGTACTGCGAGATCACCCCGCAAACCGCAACCCTTCCAAAGATGTTCATCCTGTCAACTGCTGCTTCTTGCATCTCCCCTCCAACATTGTCAAAGTATATGTCAATTCCATCAGGGAAATACCTAATTAGATCAAACTGAATGTCAGCAAACTTTTTGTATTATGATATATAGGTTGTTTAGATTAACTTTTTCAAAATAGTTGAAAGTTGATAATTAATATCTAAAAATTGATAAATATTAATATTTATAATTCAATATATGTAATCCATTTAATTAAAATCAATAGCTGATAACTGCTTTTAGAATGTCAATACAAACTCCCTTATAAAGTGCTTCTTACCTTTCAAGTGTTGATTTAAGATCAGTTTCTTCCTTGTAGTTGAAGGCATCATCAAAACCGAGCTTTTCTTTAAGCAGTACTACCTACAATATTGATGAAGTTGATTTTTTAATTAAATCTTTCTAAGTCAAGATTTTCACCAAGAATTAAACTTCAAATGCCATGTAGAATTATCATAATCATAGTGACCTTCTCTTTGGTTCCGGCACAGCCAACTACATAGCAACCAAACAATTTTGCATACTGCCCAACCATATTTCCGACTGCACCAGATGCAGCAGATACAAACACTTTCTCCCCCTTCTTGGGCTTGCATACTTTGAAAAATCCGGCATAGGCTGTCAGTCCAGCGATCCCTGGGAATAACAACAATTCAACTTCAGTTGCAGAATATCATTTTTATAGTTTTGATGCTAAAATGAATGAGTATGAAGAAAAATTACCTAGAGTTCCCACATGGTTAGACAAAGGAAATCCCAATGGATCCAATTTGCTTAACATGCCTCCTGGTTTTATCACACAGTATTCTCCCCAACTAAGAAACCCCACAACCAAGTCATCCTTTTGAAAATCAGGATTCCCAGAAGCCACAACTTTCCCCAAACCATAAGCCTCAATAGCCTGTCATAAACCACCAAAAAGAAAAATGAATTCAAGGCTTCATAAAATAACGAAGAAACATTATTGATATCATGACATACTTCCCCAGGATGGATTGCGTTTGCGTAGCCAAAACTGGTGGTCGTCTGCGTGGAACTGTAAGACTTCATGCGATTGATCTGGTAAGGATCAACTGACATGTAGAGATTTTTCACAATAACGTCTTTGGATCCAGGCTGCAGGGATAGAACAAAATCTGCAGCCTTGAGCTCGAAATCAGAATGTTGAGGTACACCATCTATGTTATTCTTTATGGTGATATACCTGTTTGTGACTTCCATCCTCAAGACTGCAAACCTTCTTCTTACTCCATACAAAGTCCAAGGTCTGTGATTCAAGCTTTAGTAAGAAGTACTAAATATACGTTGACAACCTGTTAAAATTTCAAAATTATGAAAATAATGAAAAATTAAGTGGGAAAAATGTAAAAAGGAGTCATACAAATGATAAGGTGAGGCAAGTCACCTGAAATCAGGGTTTGGGACTTTGGTTAGGAGCAAGGGCGGAGCCAGGAATTTTAGTTAAGGAAGGTCGATTTTTCAAATCTTAAAATAATGCATTGTAATTTTAAAAACTTACTTTCATGTCATATATTAAAATAATATTTGATGGTTTTTATGTCATAAAATCTATTTATAATATTGTTTATACTAAATGACTGAACTATTTCCTTTTCAATATAAACAATTAAAAGGTTTGAGAGAGATTCATCCTCCATTTTACTATGAAATCTTGTTTTCACAATTTTTATAATAAAAGATACTTTTTCTGTCATTGTTATAGAAACTGAAAAAGTAAATATCAAAGTAATTAATTTGTAAATGAAACTATAAATATATGATTTTTTTGTTTTTACAAGCTATTAACATAGTTTAGAAATACGGCAACATCTTATCTCTTCACCCTATGACACAGTTCAGAAATATGATAATATCCTATCTCTTTACCCTATCACTTTCTACAAGTAAACACATTTTTTTTCTCTTTTTACAAGTTAATTACACTTTATACAAATTTATTTTCCTTTTATACTAATTTATGTTTCTATTACTTTTCTCTGTATGACTATATCCAAGGTTTTTCTTTTTATTGGATTCATATATGTTCCTTTTATGGATTTGTATTTTCTTCTTCTTTTTTTTTTTTACTCTGATCTGATTCTATTTTATATAACTTTAATATTACCATAATATTCAATTTTATTTGTAATCTCAACAATTCAAAATCTTAAAAGGAAATTATACAATTTTTTATGATAATAAAAAATCAATAAGTTTCATTACTTAAATATTACTTTTTCCATATTAGAATAATAGATTTTTTTGTTTTATCTTCAAATGAAAGATTTGAAAATAATTTTTATCTTTACTTATTTTATACTTAAAAAATAATTAAGAATAAATATCTACTTTCATAAGAAAATAAATAATTAAAGTTAAAAATAATTATAGGGTTAAAGTAAAAAAAAACTATTTATTTTCTTCAAAAAAAAAAAAACAATGACTATTATTCTAGGATAAATTATAAATAAAAAATATCAATTATTTTAGGATAGAGAGAGTATATTAATTTTTTTGTTAAAATATATCTATTAATAAGTATAAAATAAAATTTTAAATAAGATAAAAAAACTTACAAAATTTTAAAGTTGAAATCCAATATAATAATATATGATTCATATAAAAAGTGATAATATTGTTTTTAGTTTTTACTAAAAAGTTAGTGATCCCTTTGATAGTTTTTTAATTTGTCTTCAAACTTTCAATAAGGAGAGTAGTGTTGCAGTAGTGGAGTGTTTTTTTTTTATTTTTTTTTTAAGTTAATTAGTTGAAGGGAATTAACGCCGAGACAATGGGATTGAAAACTAAAGAAATGATATAAAAGACACAAAAATTGATTTTTCATCTTTTTCTACAAAATTAAGTTGTATGCTTTAAGATAGGTAGGTTTTAAATAATAATAAATAGTTAAATTATTGAAATGAATAATTAATTATATACATTATATTTAAACTCTTAAAATAATTTATTATTATTGAATTTTT